CTTACACAAGTGTGTCAATTGAAACTGGGGAGACTGACTCTAAATTGACCGTGATTAAGGCTTTAGAGGCTGCAGCAGTGGCTATAGCTAGAAAGCAGTTGGTGCCTCTGTCTTGGCGGTAACCCTATGACCTGCTGGTGGACACCTGTGGGGAGGGAAGATGTCAGATTTCGGGAAGGAGGGCTTCTTGGCTTGAAAGCTACTGGCTGGCGAGAAATGCTGAAGCGAGGGCAGTCACAGGAGCCAATGCTCGTATACTGGAGGATTGTGGAGAGGCTATGGGAAACAGACAAGCGATCGCAATCGTTCAATGCTTCAGGAGGGAGAGAGAGGACCTTGATCGGGCTTTGTTCGGCTGGGGCAGGGAGGTGCTGCCCAATTCTGGTTATATTGTTCAGCATTGCTGCTGGGATACAGGGTGCCAGGGCAACAATTTTGTGTTATTTGGCTCCTACATGAATGCAGTAAGAGTCGCATCCACATCATTGGCAGAAAACTGAAGCTGATTAGAGTGGGTGTTATCCTCTCAGAAGGATGCTTATTGTCTGCACTCTTGTTTATGATTTTAATAGGACTGCAGGACAATAATGATGCAAAGGCCTATCGAAGAATTAAAATATTAGAATGAGTTATCACAAGAAGAGATACAGACTATGAATTGTGTTTCGGAAGAAGCTTCTGATTAATTAAATTCAAATTCAAAGTAAAACAACACATTGACATTGTAGCAGCTCTTGCAGCTGTTGATTCTACCAGAATTTTTGGATGCACATTATCCAAATTTGGAGTACAGGAGGTAATGGGTTTTTATTATGCATGATGTGAAAAGACCACCCATGATCCTGACTGGGATAAGAGTTTGGTGTATGGATGGATGGGTTTTTAATATCTGTGCAAATCAGTTAACATTTTTGGGTATAGACATTTGCAGACATTTAGCCTACAATTGAAATTGTTGTTCTGTTTATAAAGTTTTGCTGCATGGATGCGTAAATTAATGAAGTTGCACCAGAAGGGCCAATAACATGCAATGAGCAGTTAAACTCACTACTGAAATGTGACTTCTTCCTGCAGTTAGGTGAATTGGTGTCTCTACATCTCCCTTTGTGTGTGTCGGTGCCCTGCAGTGGGAGGTTCTCCTGGTTCTCCTGGCTCGTGTCTTGTCTGCCTGGGATCGGTTCCAAGCTCCCCATGACCCAGTACCGGATAAGTGCTTTTATAAAGTATGGATTCATTTCATGACTAGGAGAAAATTATCAGCCACACCAGCAAAACAAAGCCTCTAAAAGGTATTTTTTTTAAATGTTGCTCCCAGACTACCACAAATCCATAGCAAGAATGGAAACAGTTTAAAATCACATGAAATGATTGCTGTGAAGTCACAGAGAAACATAATTGATTTGAGTGATTGTACAGTTACAATACAAAAACAATTCTATTGTGTAGAGGATCAAAAAAAAGTTAATTCAATGTTCCCTGGGAATATTCTAAAATTGCAATTTTGGTGTGCTATCACTCACTCCTTTTTAACTACTGTAATTCACATTCATTCAGGTTTTTGCAGAATTTTCCACTGTATGATTTCAACCCTTTTGGAGAAACATTTAAGAATTCAATCAGCTACCTTCACTCTCTACTCAGGTCAAGTCTGGTCTGTTCAGCTTGGAGGGTATGCACTGGTACAGCATGTTCCTGCTCCCACCAAACAACGAAAAGCCAGACTGCTCTGGTCGCTGGTGGGCAAGGAAGTGATTATAGATCCTCTAGAGGATGACCCTAGCAGGGATCTTACCCAGCATTGAAAGTGGTATCATCTCCCTCTAGCTGCTGTAATCCATTCGATCACCCTTCCTATTCCAGATAGGGACAACTAGTCTTGTTTTCCCATCAGTTAGGATGACGCCTGTCTCCCATATGGAAGAAAAGATATTGCTTGCAATGCCAGGTGGACAGCCTTACTACCAGCCTGGAGAAGTTCACCCCGGATACCACAGATCCCTGCAGCCTTCCCTACCCCCAGCTGATTCACAACCAGTGCAATCTCAGTGAGACTGGGTGGGTTGCAATTAATCAGAGGATCAGTCTCAAGAACTGTAGACCCAGAGATGTCCAACAAGTCTGTCGTCAGAATTCACAAACAGGGCACTTCTGGAGACTCTGCAATTCTGCAGGAGCCTCCAGTGTCTGTCTACAAGGATGTGATCAATCTCCTTCACCGCACCACCAGTACTGGGGTACCAAGTCCAACGATGCGGCTCAGGGCGTTGGAACCAGGATTCAGCGACCTGCAGCCCCCTGACATTGACACACAGTCCCCATAGTCAGCCCTGTCAGTGCCTGTGGTCATATTGAAGTCACCCATGACCAGAGCAGTGTCACCTCCTGGGCACCCATCACTGAGCAAAGTTGCAAATAAAATATATCCATCATCAAGAAGTTACTCGTCTTGCTCGGAGTATACACTGAGACAACAGACATCTATAGAGTGCGTTAGCCAGAGTCTCATTATACACTCTTTGAAAGGAGTGACATCAGACACCATCAGGAGGAGCTGATCCACCACAGCAACAGCTACTCACTGAGTATAGCACTCATCAGAGCGACAAGACCAATGACAGGTGTACCCACCTACAGAGATCTGGCCACTCCCAGGTCTGCGGACCTCTGAGAGTGCCGCGCACTGAAATGTGGAGTTTATGAAGCTCCTCTGACAACAGAGGAAGATGGTCATCATGCCTGAGAGACGAAACATCCCACACGCCTACCCGGAGGGGCCACCTCAGATTAAGACCCGAGTGCCGCAGTGCAGTGGGTAACGCCTAGATAGATATCTAAGTGGAACAGTTCAAGTTAAACACATTTGTAAGGAGAGACAGAGAGAGAGAAAATAAAGCTGAAGTTAATTATCAGTTTGGGTAGCAGAGTAGCTACTGTAAGTGGGCCACACTGGTACCTCACACCTTCAGGGAAAGGGCTCAAATCCCACCTTCACTCTGAGTGTGGGAGGTTTGCCTGTCCTTCTCATGGTGTACACATGTTCCTTGCGTACTTTGGTTTCCTCCAATCTATTGCCCATAGTCTGCGTGTGTGTTTATGTGTGCATGTGCCCTGTAATGTACTGGCAACCCATCCAGGGTATACCCCAGCCTTGTGCCCAAAGCTGCCTGGGATAGGGTCCAGGTCCCCTGGGTGGAAGATGGTTGGATGAATTATTCATATGAAGATATCAGAAGCAACTGATAAAACTAAAATGTACTGCTTGCATAAGTATTCATTCCTGACACCTTAGTATTTGGTACAGTCTTTTGCCACAATGACATCTTTCAGTCTATTAGTGTAGATATATAATAGCTTTGCACATTTGTTTGGAATCATCTTTGCCCACTCTTCCTGAAAGACTGGCACCAGCTCAAGTAAGTTCTTTGGACTGTAATTTTCAAAGCATGCCACAGATTCTTAAAGGGATTGAGATCAGGATTTGAACTAGTATGTTCATCTTGTTTCCAGGCCATTCCAGTGTAGCTCTGGCTCTGTGTTGTGGATCACTGTCTTGCTGAACGATGAATTTCCTATTAGGCATCAGTTTTTGAGGACTCAATCAAGCTCCTCTGCAGTACTGAATATGTAATCTGTGCCATCTATTGTTGCTTTATTTCTGACAGGATTACCAGTCACTGCTTATGAGAAGCTTTCCGACAACATAATGTTGCCACCATCAAATTTCACTGTAGGGATTGTGTTTTTGGGGGATGGGTAGTGTTACTTTTACATCACACAAAATGCTTTGCATCAGATCACAAGCAATGTTCTCCCACATCTTAGCTTGATCACTGTGGCAAACTCCGAATGAGCTTTGACATAGCTCTGCTTGACTTCCTTCTTGCCAGCCTCCCATACAAGATGGTATTTTGCAGAGCTCTTCGCATATTTGTCTCATTGTGGGCTCTGGTTCACCCCAGGTGACATAAAGCAGGGTAACACCTGGGGCAGGATTAGGATAATTTACATTGACAATGTCTGAATGATATGCGAAATAGTTTACTGGTGTGGCAAGCTGCGGAGAACACAAATAACAGACACACACACACACGCACAGACACACACACACACACACACACACACACCTTGACGTACACTTTGCTTCCACATTAATTTGATATAACACTTTAAATTGCACTTGACAAGCAGAAACAGGAATGATGCCCTGGCATAAAATTATCATTGACATTTTGACATTTTTATGCATCTCTACATATCTAGCTAAGTTATGCTTTCTTTTGACAAGTCAGGCCCTAAGCCTTTATCCTGGTACTGGTGAGATGTTTTGTGTGTAAGCTACTAAGCACTTCTGCGTCAACAGTTAGGATATAGTTGTGGTGGGAGAAAAATCAAGTGAAATTTAAGGTTTTTGGGCATAGAGTGGTATACTGTAGCTTTTCATTACTTCAAAATGTTAATGTATGGACAAACTTTAAAGAGTACTATCCAATTTTATAGCAATTATACATCACCCACAAAGCATGTTGTATATGCCGAGGTCTATTCTTTCGAATGCTTATATAACATAGTCCATACTAATGTTATATGTAGAGATATGCACATAACAGCTTAATCTACTTTTTGATTATCAACCGTTCACACATTATATTTGCCTCAATAGCACGTATAAATGTAAGTTTACAGAAAAATGTTCAAGGGAAAAAAAAATGTTCGTGAAGAATCATTTATGTATACAGTAATGTTCTAACCCTTATGCATTAATTGATTATGAATCATCAGAAAGATTTCACATTAATTATGGTTTTTAAAGCGGACAGAAATAGCCTATGTTAAAACCCAAAACAATTCAAAAATGTAGTTTGTATGGAAAGGTGGCTTTAAGGAAGCTACTTTTGACTATAAATACACGCGCGCACACACACATAAATAAATAAATAGTCTTGCATATATACTCGCTTTTAACCCTGCACCGTATCTTCTAGTCTTGTCATACCAGATCATTTCTCTCCAGTGATCTGCACAGCAAAAACTATAATCCAGTATTGCCTCTAAAACCTTCGACACGTTTAGAAAATACTTCCATCAATAAACTTGCGTATGCCGGTGTACACAAGCTGTTTTCTTAAAACTACTTGGTCGTAGTGAAATTGAAATTACACACCAGAAAGGATGGATCTGCCCTTGGCAAAAGGACGTCGGACCGGGGAAGCATGGAGTAGACCTAAACGATTTCTTGCTTCAGTTGTCCGAGAGAGGCGTTTTATTTGAGCTATTGAACGAGATATTATATAATATACACAACTCTTTCGGGAATCACTCCTGTTTTTTTAATACATCACGGACACTACTCATGTGTTTTCTACAGTTTAATAAATTCGTTGTGGATTACCACTCAAGGACAACGTAAAAGAATAGCAGAAGACGTACGTATATCCCAACAGCAGAAGAATGTATATTCCAAAACAGATATCGCAATGCAACTAAAATCTTTGTGGTTCGGTGTTAACTGTTCTCAGTTAAAATGAAACAGATATAGAAGCTTCCTGGAACCTCTTTCGTGACGTCTATTTTGCCTCTTTGGATCTATGTCTGTAAGCGCTGCCATTTCTTTTTGTTGTCACTCGAATTAAAGGTTTTTTGCTGGCGTTCCTTACTACTGAACACTTGGTGTTCGTTCGCCCTGGGCACCGGCGGGCGAGTCCTTCATTATACAACGACAGGCGCAATTTTGGAGCTGCATACATCGATTATTGCAATACAAAGGAGCAGTGTGACACATTTGAAAGGTAATCAATTAACCATTGCATCCAATTACAAGTTATCTGTATATATTTTTGCTTTTATTTATTTATTTGTTTGTTTGTTTGTTGGATTATTCCCGCGACCCTGATCAGGATACGCGTTTGGAAGATGGATGGATTGATATATGTTTAATTATTACTGTTATGTATATTATTTTACATAGATGTGTCCATGATGCATGCGTACGTTTCCTGGTTGAAAACGTGCACATATATTACAGACAAACGTACAAACCGCGCATTATGTGGAAAAAGCTCAAGCGATATGTGTTTAAGAATATCATGCATATGCATTATAGAAAAATTACTGTCCATATAAAGCAGTGTTTATTAAGGCAAACATCACATTTACACTTCGGCTCTGGTGAATTTCACCGGAATGTGTTGTGCTGAAATATGTATTTGTTGCATTCTGTTTACAATAGCGATACTTTTCTCTGATACGTTTCAGAATCGCATGGTGGGCTACGAAAGTATTTATTCAGATTTTGTATATAGACAAATATTTTCCAAACCCAGACGATCCAGGACCTAGGAGAGCTCAAAAACACTATGGCGATTTTCGTTTACTAGCTTTAAAAAGGCAGCGTTAATGTCATGAAAAACAGAAGGCGTAAAATTTGCATTCTGATCATGGCATTCAATGCAAAGTCATGGAGGCTGAAATATTACGACAAATAAGTCAAGCGACTACTGAGTACTTGATGTTCTACATTGTTATTAAACTGGCACGTACTGTATATAGAAGCATGCCAACAGACACATGGATATATACCGCAAATTCTTTTAAACGAAGCAATCCTGGCTCCCAAAGGTATTTATAAGGGCAACTGATAATCTAATATGAATCACTAATGGTTGAATGCCTTTTCCTTATCATTGTACTGCACTGACATTGCTTTATCGATCAGATATAGATGTATTTACTAGTTATACTAGTGAACTATAACTGTAATTAGTTTCAGTTTAAGAAATGCCATAAAACTGCAGTCTGATGAGCATCAGAAAATTGGCACCACTATACTTTTAGATGAGAACATTTCTTTATTTTATCGTGTTTGCCATGAGATTATTGTTTTGAAAACTAAAGTCTGTGTATATATATATATATATATATATATATATATATATATATATATATATATATATATATATAGTTAAACAACTTTTCACATTAATGGACAGGATGTCCAGGCAATTAGTATGTAATGAATCATTAGCGTTATTGTGTATTGCATATGGTGGGGTAGTAATTTGACCTTGTGCCACATTAAAAACACATATTCACTTTTACTCAGGAAACTGTCAGACATCAGGTAAATAATTTTGCCTGTAGAGAACATCCTTTTTTTCCGGACACACCCAATGTAGGGTCATCACAAGTCACACATGCTTCATTTAATATTCCCAAGCACTGAGAATCCATTTTAGGAATTCCGCTACAGTAGAAGTGTGAGTATAACTGCACTCAGACCCTAGTTCATCACTATACCTCCCGTGCTGGGTTATATAACTGCATATGTCCTTGGTTGTCTAAGGTAGAGAGCTGAGAGCCAATCACTACATTTGCAAGGAAACCCAGCAACTGCAGAGCAGGAGAGGAGGGGGGCAGGCTTGTTAGTTCGCGCACAACTGCAATCTGCTTAAGGAAACTCTGCAGGGTTAGACTTCATTTGCTTGCTTATATTCTTGGCCCTTTGCTAATAAATAAATATTTTTAACGTGTTACTTTCTTTAATGCAGAAAAGACCATTGCTTGTGGGTCATGTAATTCCTCAGGGGTGAGCAGTTTTTTTTCTTTCTTGTTTTATAAGCGCTAACAATTCGGATGTATTCTTGTCATACACTTCTGTGGTTTAATACCTGCTATTGGTAACACCTTGTGTATTGGAATATTGGAATCTTCCTTGACTATCGATAGATAATTAAAAGTAATCTGCACTCAGAGTGAGGCTACATTGATGTGCATTAATACGGTTTAAGAAATGGTTCTCCGCTGACACACGATGCAGTAAAAATTAATGAATGACCATTTACAATTTCTCTATAAAAGATATACGGACAGCATTCCCATAAACACTTTTAAGTTTACTGATATTAATATAAAAGGTGATTTGTTTAGTACTGTAATACCAAATCCTGAGAGATTTTGGCCTTGGAGAACTGGAGAAAACCATACAATATTGACAATATTTATGAAAATTGCTAAATAATTAGTTAATAAAGAGGTAACATTCCCTATTCAGATTGTTGACTTTGGTAATCGTTGAGGGAACCTACGATTTTTTTCAGACACACTAGACCTTGGTTTTATGTTGCTCATGTTGAGGACTACTGCTATGGACTAAACAAAAGAAATAAAAGGTTTTAGTTTTAACTCATTCATTTACTTTATCGTGTTGTAGCAAAACCATAAAACTATAAATTGCAAATAAGTCAATTGCCACTGGTATTATACGGGTATCATTATGTTTTATGCTGTAACTTATATTTAATAGATTTGACCAATATTTATTAATGAGAAGATATAAACTTTACTCCTACATTCTTTATCAAGCAAATGGATACGTCTCCATCCAGTTTCCAACCAATTATCCTACAGGTTTTTGGGGAGGCTCCAGTCGGAGCCTATCCCAGGCAGAATAGGGTACAAGTAGGCCCAGGATAGGATGCCATTCCATCACATGACACACAAACTATGAGCAATATATGGAGCCACAGCAGAAACTTGAACCCTGGTCCCAGAAGTGTAAGGCCACAATGCTAACCACTGCCATCCAAACCCCCCGCCCCCCCGAGGCTTGAGGCCACCCATTGCCAACATATATATGAAGTTTTTCCCTTATTTACATCAGTCTTAAATCACAAGAATATTCATCCATTGGTTTTGTGGTTATACACTTCCCATAACATATTAGCATATTGAAGGATTTATATCTAAAAAGTCTCCTAAATTTGTGAATTCAACCATTTTCCATTTAACATGGTTTTGTTTTTTTCAGACTGATGCTGAATCAAATACAGCAGGACTTTATTTTGTAAACCTTGTTTTCCCCTAGTAAACAGCTCAGTCACTGACAGCATCACATGTTCAGACTATGCTATTTAAAGCAGGTAGGAATGTGCCTAGGGATTTTGTGTGTGGACTTCACAAAAATATTTCATTGAATGGGCTATCAGTGCTTTGTTTTAATGTATTTTTTTCCATTTAAGAAACCATGTTGATATTTTTCTTTAGATTTAATTTACTTGCATTTATCTCATGAGTGTAATTTTCCGTTTTCAAATAACTGTGCAATTTCAGACAGATTTTTCACTTTCCTGAGCAATATGCATGTACCTTCATTTGCAGTTATTATAGTTGTAGATCAAAGGAAACATCCAAGCAGACATTAAGGACAGAAAGAATTTCATAGACTAAACTGGTTAAGTGGTAGACAAAGGGTCACCAACTTTACTTACTTTCTTTATCATCATTGTGTAGGTAGAAAATTCAGTGTTTACATATCCATCAGGCAAACTTAATGAAATATCGTAAAGGAATGAATGACTCAAAGGCAGGCACTTTGGGCAATGGAAAAGGGGCTTTAGTGGAACCGTAAGGGATCAAAATGAGAAGGCTAGTCATTGGAAGGACACTGGCTGACAGGCAGCACAAAATTAATGAGTGGACTAGGAAACACAGGACTGGGAAGCATGTATATACAAGACTAACATGGGAGCTAACAAGAGGCAGCTGGGAGACAAACGAGTAACAGGTGCGGCTTGTTAGGGACACGCTAGGAAGGAGACAGTCAGGTGATATGGCAGGCAGGCAGAACATGACAAATATAAAAATGATATTTTGAGACAGATGGTATTCATACGTGACTTTTAAAAACTGTCTGAGATTTATTTAATTGTACAGTGATGAAAATGCATAAGTACATTTGCTGGAGACAGGACTTTGGAGAATGTTGGTGCAAATTATTGGATCTGAAGATTGATTGTGGGTGGATCCTATCCGTATACAATACTGGATATTGACATAGCATGGTTGAACTGTGAGTTTTGGACAAGATGGCATTTACTTAACCCAAGCACGAAGCACAGTAGGAATATTTACTGAATAATTGTTTTGAATTAAATAAGTTAAGTGAATAAAACCAAAAAGAGTCACTTAACTATGTTACATTAGCATGCACATTATCTGCACTACGCACAATTCATTATTTTATTTATGTACATAATTTTGTATATTCCGGAACATACCGTCTTGATTTTCCTTGATTGCTTTGCTTGGGGGGTTATTATTATTATTATTATTATTATCATTAGATGCCATCTCTGCGATGTGGCGTAATATCCATGATAGGCTGCAGACCCCCCTGACTCTAAATAGGACAAGCAGGTTCAGGAAATGGATGGATAGGTAGATGCCATCTGGTCAATGAGGACTCCTAGGTACCATAAAGACAATATACCGTTATTATGGTTCTTCAGGCTTCCTAAAGGCAGGTTCATTGCTGTAAAGATTGAGTTCATCCATCTCGTCGCTGGTTGTCCTCCTACTCCTATATCTTTGACTTTTCCAAGTATTATGTTTTTTCCAAAGCATTGGCCACATTCATAATACCGGCAAAATAAGATTTAGTCTGGTCATTTGTGCTTCAAATGAAAATACGGATTGTATGTGTAGACCTGACTGTCTACAGTATTCTTAATAGTCTTCTTGTAATAGTCGTCAACAAATTCCAAAGCATCAGTGATCCTCCTGTCCTCCTCATTGCCTAGGTAAGTTTGTGTGTTGGTCTTTACATCTCACCGACATTTCTGTCTTTTGACAGGTGCCCTGCCATGAAGATACTGTTCTTATACCTGGCATTGCTGGCTGCGCCCATGTCCACCATGCTGTGCCCCAAACGCTGCACATGCCAGAACCTACCACCCTCCTACACTGTTCTGTGTGCTAAGACGGGCCTTCTTTTTGTGCCTCCCTCCATTGACCGACGCACGGCTGAGCTGCGGCTAATGGATAATTTCATCACCACGCTCCATCACCGGGACTTTGCTAATATGTCCAGCCTCATACACCTAGCTCTGTCACGCAACACTATTAGCCAGATTAAACCCTATGCCTTCTCTGACTTACAAGATCTCCATGCCCTACACCTGGATGGCAACAGACTAACTGCCGTAGATGATACTCACTTCCAGGGTTTAGTCAGCTTGCACCACCTAATCCTAAGCAACAACCAGCTACAGCACATTACAGAGGGGGCCTTCCAGGACTTTCTGGAGACCTTGGAGGACCTTGACCTCTCTTATAACAACTTAGTGCACATACCCTGGGAGACAGTTGGCTTGCTAGTTAGTGTTAACACCCTCAGCTTTGATCACAACCTTATTGACTTTGTACCTGAAGGAATCTTTTCCAATCTACATAAGCTTGCCCGCCTAGACATGACATCCAACAAACTGAAGAAGATCCCACCAGACCCTCTCTTTCTGCGCATCCCTGTGTATGCGAAGATGAAGGGGTCACCACTTACAGCCCTGGTGCTCAGTTTTGGTGGGAACCCACTGCACTGCAACTGTGAGCTGGTGTGGCTCAGGCGACTGACACGTGAGGATGATCTAGAAACATGTGCTACACCCCGTGAACTGGCCGGAAAGTATTTTTGGACCATCAGAGAGGAGGAATTTGTCTGTGAACCACCCATGATCACACGACACACTTCTAAAATGTTTGTCATGGCAGGCCAGGAGGTAAGCTTACGTTGCAAGTCAGTGGGTGACCCAGAACCCACTATACACTGGGTAAACCCAGAAGGAAAGCTAATTGGCAACACCTCACGAACTATTTCCTATGACAATGGTTCCCTGGACATTTTAGCCACCACCGTGAAAGATTCCGGAATCTTCACCTGCATTGCTTCCAATGCAGCGGGTGAGGCCACCACCCCTGTAGAGTTAGTGGTCAATCCTTCACCCCACTTCGACCCCAAACTGCAACCTGAGCTGGGCCCATCAGATATCCCTACCTCTATCAAGTCCAACACCAGCAGCAGCCATCCCTGGCCAGACCAACAACTGGTCCGTGTTTCCGAGCTTAGCTCCTCCTCTGCTACCATCCACTGGCCACCCCAGAGTCACATCCCAGGCCTGCGAATGTACCAGATCCAGTACAACAGCTCCGCAGATGACATCCTCATTTACAGGTAGGATAGAGAGATATGCTATTATTTATCGGCTCGGTGGCTTGTCTGTAAATTGGCTTGGTCATTTTACCACAGCATATAAAGTAATCTCAAGACTAGAACAAGGAGAATAATTTTAGAAAGATGTTGTTTGATAGAAATGCAATAGACACTCAAGATTTTAGACAGACCAATTTTCCTTGACTAAGATGATCAATAAATTAACGTAATCAACAATTGCATTTTCCAGTGGTTTTACAGGTTAGTGTTTCTTTTTATATTTGGAAATGGGGTGCATGTCATAGGAGATGGAACTATAGATGAGTAATGGTTCAGTAATACTAGGCTGAAAAAGTATGAGCAGCTGATATTGACCTCATATTGATAATATCACAGAACAGTGTCATAACTCAAAAAAATTTTTGAAAATAGGATTGACTAGAGAGGATTTTTTAACTCAAACCAGACAAAGACATTTCAGGTAGCTTCATCTTCATTCATGGTGGCATAGAAGCTACTCATTGTTCATTATGAAAATTCTCCTAAAGCTGAATATCCCAAACGTGTCATGTCTGCACATTTCCTAAATTTGATTTAAATCATATTTATTGGCTGCGACTCTAAAACATATGGGCTGAGAATTAAGGTAGAACCTTGCTCTCTGGTGGAATTTTCATTCCTTGTCACATTTTATTGTTTAAAAGCTAAAAACAGCAAGTGTTCAGAACAAAAAGTCTCAACGAGGTATACTGGGACAAGAGTATGTCACTGAAATGGGGGCAGGGGGGGATACAGCGTTTCTTCCCTGCCTTTTAGTTAGTGTCTTATAAATTGCATCTGCAAAAAGAAAAAAAAATGATCCTCTTGAGTTTTGCTACTGTTTTATTTATATGTACAATTATCTGCTATTAAAGAGCAAGCATGATAATGAAGTCAAATTTTACTTAGAATATAAAGATATATTAACAATATAAAGATGGGGAATACATACAGTACCAGTCAAAGGATTGGACACACCTAACCATTGAATGGTTTATTTGTACTTTTCCCTATGTTTTAGAGTAATTACAGACTATAAATAACATATATGGAATTATACACTGACCAAAAAAGTATTTTAAAAAATCTGTTGGGAGGGCAGCTCTGTGGAGTGGGACTCAGAAGGTTGCTGGTTCAAATCCCTAGGTGGGGTTGGCGGAGTGATCCCACCATTGGGTCCTTGATCAAGGCCCTTAATTGCTCCAGGGACTGGCTGACCCTACTGTCTCCTCTACGCCAGTTTCATGAGGTGGCCTCCTGGGATGCTTCTCCCGCTGTCCTGAAGGAGTTCCCATATACTGTATATGCTGAGCACTCGTTCGCCGACTTTTCTTTCACTCTCCGATTAAACTCCTCCAAAATTATTTCTGCCGTGTTTAGGTCAGGTGGTCATGTGATGTGACACTATCACTCTCCTTTGTAGGCAGCGTGGCGTGTGCAAGTTTTTGAATGGAACTGTATGGCTTTGGGACCAGCTACGCTACTGCCGTTGCTGCAACACTTTCTCGTTAATGCGAAGGCACAGTGACGAAGCACACTGTCTGGCTGACAAACGGGAACTCTTCAAATTTTGTGACAGATTGCCCCAAAATTGAAGCGCACTGCATAGTAATATGAAAGGGAAAGGCAGTTCAGACACTTCATCTTGTCAGCATGATAACTCAAAAATCATTTGTTGGATCTTTTCCAAACTTTGCAGACATATTGTATGGGTGAACATCTGTGTCGTATCATATTTTGAGACTAATTGTACCAAAATTGAAGCAGTGCTACTTAGTGTCACAAATGGAAGGGTTACAGCAGAAGACACTTGACCTTCTGATCAGGATAACTACGTTTGATCTTGTTACTCTATTTACTCTATTTGGTCTTTGATGGATGTTGTTACAACTTCATAAAAACATTATATGGATGAAAACCTGCACCTGATACACCAGACCCAAATCTCTAAGCTAGGCTGGGTGGCAGCAGAGCACAGAAAGGAAGCCATCGCCATCTTATCATATTCCAAAATAAAGTTTACATATTTATCTATATATATGTTTTTTTCACTGCCAGCCCCCTTCAGTAATTTTCATTATAATGCAGTATTTTTATTCAGCACATTTTATCATGGGCAAACCTCCCCTGACTCGATGAAATTTCTCAGGCATTTTGTTCCAAGTGACAGCTACTCATATTCCAAAGGTCTGAGAACTCCAGAGGAACTGTAGTGTGAACAGAAAGAGGTCTGAGGCCCCATCAGAGCTGAAGTGGACCAGAAAGAGAACTAAGTCCTCTTTAAAATTAACCCACAATATGACCATTTTTTATTCCATCTTAAAGGAACTGAGTTTGGTTCGTGTAAAAAAGATTATATGTGGAAAACACCTCTAGTCAGCTCATGAAACAGCAGGTGCAGACCTGGTGAACATGATTGCATTGGTTGGGCTTTTAATAAAGATTTTTTTTGAGAGGATGGGAGAGTGTGTAGGGTAGACTGCAAGATTTTTATTTGGAGGAATTTGTCATAGGTGAAACCCCAGTATGAAGGTATGAGAAATTAGATACCGCCCAAGTCTACTGAAGGGGGGGTAGATATTGAGGTTGGGGTGTTTGGGAGGTATAGAGATTAGATGGGGGAGGGGGGATGGAGCTGACCAGGGAGTACATTGTTGTCATTCCAAAAGCATCTTTTATAGTTTTACCCTGTGATAGATAACAAACTATTAATGGCTGCTCTGTTGTTCTGCGACAGCTATGTTACGCATAAGCCATGCAGTTTGCTTTATATGCAGGAGTATGCAACATATAGTGTTTCTTTTTATTTTTGGAAATAGGGTGCATGTAGATGGAACAATTGATGAGTAATGGTTCAGTAATGCTAGGCTGAGCAAGTATGAGCAGCTGATACTGATAATAGAACAGAAATATGTAACTATCGCTATGTAACTATGAAGCCAGTATCGGGCAGATCTTTTTCATCGTCTCTATAGTCTACAGTATATGGAGGCTACAGCCCTAAAACTGGAAATCCGGTGCCATCGGGTGGTTCATCAGGTAAACAGGTCTGGAGTGTATTAGCTAATGCGAAAATTATAAGACCTTTAAACTTGGGGACTGTGCAGGATCCTAACGTATTGCAAGGACTAGGTACAGGGTGTAACTTGAAGTCATCCTTGGGTTCTACTATTCGTTGACTTATAATCCCAAGTGCTTATAAGGCAATGTTTATGCTAATTGGCTGCCAAAGAATGGATAGTATTTGCTAAATGGTCTCTGGAGTCAAAAGGGTGCTTCCCAGCCTAAGAAAGACACAAAGGGCAATTATTCTTCATCTGTCTCATCTGAGACACATACATGTATGTATTACATTGCTGGCTGCAGTCTAATGAACTTAATCTGCCTGAAGACTGCTGAGAACATATAACTTTGATCAACATTCTATAGTAGACACTCCTCACTTCACGACCCTACGACTAGGTTGTTAACCAAATGGGTCAATAAGTGAGGAACTGCCCCTTGCTGGTATTTCACGCGTACTGTACTGGTAACGGGTTTGTGTCGACCATCTTTAGATATTGTTTTAATGTCACCTTTGTGCCATTTTATAACATTTTTAGTATATTTATAATTGTTTATGCAGTAGGTACTGTATACTGTACTAAACAGAATAGAGGAAATCAGGTCTAGTATTCATTACTTAGGTTTGCATATTGTAAATACAGGTAATTGTTTTTATTTATTTGAAATATGTAGTCTTGGAGATTGCAAACGCTAGTGTACTGAATACTGACTGGATGCGAGAACGAGGCTGACTCGGAGAAAGGGTGACGCTAAACGAGATGCTTGCCCGTGAGATGCCACGCCAGCATTTCCACGACCAAGTTCTCATACAGCATACAATACCGACCGTGTGACAGCTGGTCGTAAGTCCGTGTGGTCATTAAACAGGTAGATCGTTAAGTGAGGAGGGTCTGTCATTGTAAACTCCCCTATTAAATTGGTTGCTCAGAAAAGGGTCACACCTTATAGAGGAACTAAGCCCATTAAGGGCTAGCTACATGGGAGACTGTATTATTTTATCTTTTTCACAGATAAGAAATGCCTTGATTTGATCTACATTTAGTTTCCTTATTTGAAGTAACATGGGCTTATCAGCCATCCTGGGGTAATCCTACTGACTCTGGTAAGCTGCGCCTCATCTTTTCTTAAAAATACTTTTCAATTACAACCAATTTAAAATGCAGTGAACTGATACGTGTGCTTAATGACATGAATATTTTATGTTTAAACCCATTTTGAAGCATACTAAACCACATAATACCATAAATAGGAAGGAATTTCTTTTTAAAAAAATCAATTATAACTTTTTCAGCAGACCCCTAACTTTTCTGACCAGGTCAACACCTCAGCCTCCCTGGTAGCATTTTTTTGTGGACTACTACACTGATACCACCAATACCTTAATGTGTTTAAAACATAAAAGCATATACAAAATCCCACCAAAGTAGATTTAAAAAGTGAAATGGAACCCAGTCCAAACAGGAAACACATGGCCTGCAGCAGACTATAGAACAGATCACGAACTACTTATACGTAAAGCCCCAAGTGAAGCTTAAAAGGGACAAGAAGGCCATCTGATGTTTAAGAAATTACCTGGAGAATATACCCATTACCTTCAAGGAAAACATCAGAAACGTTTGAGATTCCAGTTTGATGTAGAACCAGACAAACTGTAGACAGAATTCAGATAGAATTCAAAGAAGTCATTCAAGAGAAGTCAGATAAGAATGGTCAAAATGAAAGAGCCACAGAAATCAAAGTGGATGGCAGTAATGGTAATTTCTACGAAAGCCATGTCTATAAGAATCTATGAACACATTCATAGCACATTATAATGAATTAATAAAGCATTATAAACATGGCTATAAATATGTATAAAAAGGCATAACACGTTATACCCATGTTTGTTATGCATTGCGAATGCTTTGTGAAGCTCT